GACTCCAGACCCTGTCAAAATCTCAAGACATGCTTTGACCGGACTTTGTTTGACCTTGGACCATGTTTGCTGCGACACTTCGTCCTGAAAACATGTGACCGCAACAACAACCGTCGATGTCACCTGAATGTCCGCCTTCGCACTTGTTTGCCAGCTGATTTTGGAATCTCCCAAGTTATGCAAGCATGTGGAAAGGATGACCGGTGCACCATGTGGTCCAATTGCAGGTGTGTTCACAGGATTGCAGTGACATGATCCTTGTATCGGGCATGATCCAAGCACCAAAACTCCCAATTCATCTGTGCTGACGCTCTTGTGGCTCTGGAGCCACAAAGTCGCATCTTTTGGGGACAACAGAACGATCCCATGTGATCTGGTTTGAATATCATCAACCTGTTTGCAAGCCGACCCATTAGCATTTCTGAAGAAGCCCTCCTGAATCTGAAAGCAGGTCGCAGGAAAGTCCTGTTTACCAGCAGAAGGTCTTTTTGGCTGAGATTGCTGTCGACTGGCTGCGGCCTTGTTTGTTGGCGGTGTCTCGATGTTCAAGGTGTGACCTAACTTTTGAATGGCATCAAGCTTGGCAACTGGGTTTGTCATGTTGGCAATGACCTGAACAGTTTGAAAACCTGCCGAGTGAATCAATTTGTCCACGAATTTCGACACTGGAGTGAGGTCAGCACCATGTGAAAGCAAGCACGAGGCGATAGCATTTTTCACTTTGACTTGAACCTCCGGCTTTGGCGCTTTTCCTCCGCCTCTGAGCTCAAGGACGAAGAAAAACCTGGCTTTCAACACCCCGTCAGAGTCAAGAGAAGCATAATCCGAAATTGAACGATCAATGTTCACACGTTTGCCACGGCAGATCATGCGCATGTTGGATGGGCTTCCTGCAAAAGTTGTAATCTCGTACCAATCGTTGATCAAAGTTTCACAGACTTGTGACCCATCGATCCATCCAAGGTCAATCCAATGCCTGTCCAGCTTAACCTCAACCTTGACAGACCCTTGCCGTTGAATCATGGGTGGCGGGAAAGACAGGACAAACAGGCATGAGACCAGGACGGAGACGATGCTCGGCAAAGGGATAGGCTCAATCTGCGGAATTGGGACAATGACCATACGTGTGACAACTGGCTCCTCAAACCTGCAGAACTGTAAAAGGCAGTGCCATCCTTCAGCATTCAACACGTCTTCAATACCAGAGTGTCTCAAGAATTGCATGAGTGAAATCAGATTGGAAACTTCATCCTGAACATATGCAAAGCCATCTGCCTGGACAAGTTTACAATCATGAATGCATTCCACAAAGAACTGACGATCATGGATTTGACGAGACAACAGGTTGGACACCGCTTGATGTACATAGTCGATCGAAGAAGAGTTCTGATGGTTTCCAACCTGCACTTCAGATCCGGTGACTGCATTTCCATCTTCTTCGGAGCCGGACGAAACGGATTGATGGGGGCCGCCTCCATGAAGTTGCAGGACCAAATGGATGTCAGCTCTCAGACCTGACTCAGTGGGTTTTGCATAAACACTGATGGGAAAGTCTGGATTTGCTCTACTCCCACAGATGATGAGTCTCATCTCAGCCTGATTCCCAAAAAGACCAGAAGCGTCTAACCACGCTTTTGTGACAACTTCTCCCTTTGTGTCAGAGCTCATTTCACCGTGCCAAATCCACGTGTCCCACAGTTTAATCCGGACAAAAACATCCACTCCCAAAGGTAGGACCCTCAAATCCAGCAAAAAGGCGAAAACACGTGATTCAATCAATTGTCTCATGGCACTCTGTAGAACTGCCAACACTCCGGGCATTCTGGTCAAATGCAATTCCAAAACCTCTGGCTGAGGTGTGCGAGGAATATCCACGGAAAAATGCCATCCAAAGCACTTGACGAATGTGATCAATTTCGCTTGCCTCAGGAAGTTCAAGGCACGATTCATTGCTTGTTCTGAACCCTTCATGACAAAACCCTGTGGAACAGCAAGGAATTGATGAGAAACTTGTACAATCTCAACCTCATCCATATTTTCAAGGTGAACTTCCGGCATGACAATGGTGAGTAATGGACAGACATCTTGCGATTGCAAAGGACGGTCAACCAAGGACGTGCACGCAACATGCTCATGTTGATACCAGCCAAGGTGATCGATGACCATCTCAATATCATCAACCAGGATTTCACCGTGCGCACGGACTGCCACGACCCCAAACTCAGTGAGAAAGCAAGCAATTGACCGATCACAAAGTTTCGTGGCAAACATTTTCTCTTGGAGAATCATGGCCGATGGGACTGCAGCATGTAAAGTTGTGTCATGTTTCAACATGCGAAAATCTCCGGCAACAGGGATACGGAACTCTTCAACATGATTCGGGCAAATGTCAATGCATGCAGGCATGGATGGTCCTGTCAAAACCGACAACACCTCATGAATGTCAAGGCCTTCTTCGCACCAGACCACAAACTGATCTGTGGGTGATGCGATTGTCAGGCGTGCAATACATCTAAAAGGCTGCGTTGGTGAAATTGCAAGGGTCAATGCAATCTCTCTCCTCTTGATGACAATACCATGTTCATCAGCTTCAAACACGACTTCTTCTGCCTGCAACCTGTACTTCATGACTCTGGAAAAGGTTTCAGCAACCCCATACATGAACATGTCAGGACAAACAAACATGACACCATTAATGATTGCCAGCACGGCGTGTGGGACCGTGATTGCATTCCCTAGCGTGACCATGGCGGCTTTCCAGTCCCTTGGAATCCATGTGGCGGTCATGATGGCGTGCATGAGAGCGATTTCAACTGGAGCAAACTTCCTCAAAGTGGTGCCACACAAAAATAGTGATCCGAAAACCCCACCATCTCGCAACAAGCTTGGATCAAGGTCCTCTGGCAAACCATACGACGTCGCAAAACATGACGCTTGATCATTCAATGTCCTGACACGATATTTCATGAGGTCCCGGGTGGTCCTCTTTGAGTGCCCATTGGTAAAGACATGCTTCGGCAAATGATTTGGGTTCATGTACACCTTGAGTTCATTTGCACTCAGAGTCACTTCAGCATCCCATGGGTGAGGCCCAAAAACAATAACATGATGAGATCCCAAAGATGGTTTGGTGTCAACTGGCCATGCTTTGGGTATGTGAGCAAACATGTCAATGTTTCCTATCTTGATGGCAATTATGGTGAGACGGTCACGGTGTTGCGGCATCACTTGTCCAACATCCGAACATCCACTGTGTTTCACTGCGTATCCTGCCCATCTCAACAACGCAAGAATCAGAGGAAAATGTTTGTGAGCCTTCATTCCTGACACGTTCTCAACCAGCAACACCTTTGGACGACATGCTGCGACTAATCCAATCAGATTGACTAAGATCAGACCGTCCGCACGTGCAAAGCCTGGAGGTGAGTTCGCCAAGCTCCAAGCAGGGCATGGAGGAGATGTCGCCCAAATGTCCAACCCCTGAACCCTCATCAAAGGAGTCCACCACAAGAATTTCAAGTTCGAGATCAAGAAAAAGGAGGTTGACTTGTCATGATTCATCTCATTGCATTGTTGCCAGCACTGTCTGGGGCCATCGCAAACATGTGTGACATCATGAGACTTTGCAAACCTAAAAGCACATTCTGGGTCTCTGTCAATGGCCCAAAGACGCCTAATGCTTCCCCCAATTTGGTTTAGAGCATTCACTGCATGACTCCAACCGCCAAAGCCACCTGCAAAGACCTCTGCCATAAAAACAGTGTTTTCATCTCCATGGTTTCTCGGCTGTTCATTCACCGGAATTACACCACATTCCTGAGCATCAGTTGTGAGTAAACCCTGAGAGAAATCTCCGCAAATGACAAGGACCTGATCATGATGTTGGACACAAGCATCCCACTGAACAGCCGTGAACTTGACACGCACATGTTTGATTCTGGCTTCGTCACGCGTACAAGGGTTCAAAGAAAATCCCATGAACTCATTTGGAGCAAATCCAGGAGGCACGACAATCGAACAATCCACCATTGTAAAATCATGAGAGATAATCTTCACATCGTGAATCTGCAAAGCAACACTCACAGTTCGGAGACATGAACAGATCGAAGGTTGAAGGCAGTAATGTGAAAGAATACTCAAAATGTCATCGTGAACTCCAGACTGCTGTAGATCCATGGCTCTATCGGTGGACCAACCCTCAGTGACCCTAGCAGCCACTACCACGGGCAGGTTAGAGCCGCTTGTGGCTAGTCCATCTTTTCACCAAGAAACATATGGTCATCAACATGGTTTCCATGATCCATTTGGTCAGTGCACAGCCCTGGTCCCAACATGTTGCTGCGTTCGATCCACTGTTTTTGACGGCTGCATACAACCCGACGTTTTGCTTCCTGATTTCAAACATGTTGTTGGTTTTTATTGTCAAAACGAGGGTCAGAAGAAGCAGGATGATTCCAAACATCACTGGGCTACATGGGCTGCATGGTAGCCGGCAATGATAGGCCCGTGTTGCTTGTTTTTATCCCCATCTCTAGCTGGTTTCATGCCCGATTTTATTGTCTCAGGCATGTTTTGCTGCTGAAGTCGCAGTGTTTTGCTGGCCCATTCTTCAAAGAAAATTCATCTCCGTCTTTATTGGTGATATCTCCACTTTTGTTTGTAATTACACGCGATTCTTTGTATGGGTAAAACGGCAAAACCATGCAAAACCACCATTTATGATGCTTAAACCATGAAATCCTACAACTTTCATACGTTCCATCTATATATCATCACAAGTTTTTTCTTCATCTCCGAGCGTCTCTGTGCTTAAAAACTTCTATAAATTAGATCTCCAAATGTTCAAAATGGTCAAATCATCATGTTTGATGGAAGAAACACAGCTTTTCATTGGTCAAATCACCATTTTTCCTAGTTAAGTCGCACTTCTTGATGAACAAATCCACCCATTTTTGGTCGTTTCAATCCCACATGAAAGTTGGTTCCATCCCAATCCGGGCCTTAGGCTTCGCCTTGGGCTTGGCCTGTCATGTTGTTTTTCGCCAACGGCAGATTCAGTTTTTGAAAATCTGGGAATGTTCAACTAGTTGGTGGTTTTAACCATCTTGAAAAATATGAGTTCGTCAATGGGAAGCATGACATGGCATATAAAATGGAAAATAACAAAGTTTGAAACCACCAGCCAGTCAAGTATTAACTTCCACTTCATTACAATTAGATGCAACTAGTACTTAGATTAACTTTCAAAATCTGGAACATCTTATCAAACCATCTGAATGTTATTTAGAGTATAAGAACCCTAGTACTATTGTTCACCATCTATAGTGGTGAATCCCATGAATGAGATGGGGATGGGTCAAAACCTATCAAATTACATGTTTTTGGAATACACATCCATTAACCAGCTGTTTTAGGGTACCTCGGACATGTTCAAAGATTATTTCGCATATAATTCATGTTCAACACCCAATTTCATCTAATCCATTCATTGAAAATCATGTTCTCAATGACTATTCATTGATTGTTTCCCTAGAATGTGCAACATGATGCGTTGATCTGGGTAAATTATAGTAATATTTCACTAACCTGAATAGTTCGGCCATTTGGGAATAATTTCCCTTATTAAGCATGATTCCCAGTTAGGGAGAATAGTGAGGTCGTTAAAATTTACCCAGATTGATTTTTCAAGATCCATATATTTTGTGGTGTTTCGATGGATCAAGTCGACAGCCTTAGATCTGGATCAACACGTCCTGTTAGAAAAACCATCGGGGTAGCGATATTGGTTGGATTTCACAAGCCATATATTGGTTGGATCCCCCCATGGAGACCTGCAGAAAGATTCCCAATGTTTTGGAGGTTTCGTGCAAGATTTGTTCGGATGTCATGGAAAATGACTTGGAAATTGACGGGATGATGGGATGCAATTCACGTCAGATTTCATGACCCAGACTGTGGGAACCCACAACTTTGGGTGGATTCTGTCTGAAAACTAATGACCATCTGTTTGGGGTTTAGATTCCTTGATGCCCCTGCCAAAACAAAAAAGCTCGATCATCCTTCAAACCTCTCATGCTTTGTCAGGGAGTGTATGATGGAGAAAACACATGCATAACAAAAATAAATCATATCAAAACACATCAGCATTGAACACTGTAGCAAAAATCTATGAACACAACTGACAATAGTATTGATAATAATATTCATCATCAGCATTATCATCATCCTTGAAGCAACATCCTTCATAATATTCAACTATTGATAATTATCATCAACTTTGACAATAACAATACTAACATTTTATCATATTCATCCTCACCACATTAATATTGTTAAGATAGATTATTATACATTAATGATACATTACATTCAGTCTCTCTCCTCTTCATTTGGCATTATCATCATCACCATCATCAAAGTAGACAAACATCCAAAAATAATACTCATCAACATAATAGTCAAAATAATAACAATAAAAAAAAAGATTAATATGACTGAGAAGAATAATAGCCACCAGAACATACTGGAAAAACTTTAATAATAACCATCATTGTATGTTAAGGTGACCATAACCATAAAAATAACATCTAAAATAACATTAACATCATCATCATAGTTGTTTTTCTGTTATATCATTAACATCTAATATAACACTAAAATAATGGTCATCATCATCATCATCATCACCACCACCATCCTTAAAGCAACATTTGCATCAGCTCTCTCCGCCCCGTCACCTTGGGCTCAGCAGATTCCGCTGGTGCCTGATGTCGGGAAGCTGGAGGAACTTGGTAGTTGAACCACTGAAAAAAATCTTGGTAACTTATGAGAACGTCCCAAAAATGGTGAGATTCTGGAAACATGCTGAGAAACTCGATGATGGTGAGATTTGAATGGGAAAACATAGTGATAAACCATCAAGACTAGGGTTTGAAGCATCAAACATGGTGAAACAGGGTACTTTAGGTATTGAAATACAAGGTGGTGCCCCAGTGAACCAAATTGCGCCGTTGGTTTCTACATAACTGCAACAACTAGGGATTATCGTCAATATAATATCAGACCACCTTTTGAAGATTGGTGGCGGGAAATTCAGGAACGATGGAGATAACAATGAGGATGTCATGGGAATATGAACCAACAAACATGGGGGGCATACCTTCATGAAAACTGGTTGTTTTCACCCCCCTAAGAAACTATGAAAGCGATCGGGAATGATCATTTCAAATAGGAAGTCAACCAAATAATTGAAATCCAAAACTACCAGGTCTAATGATACTCATCATGGCCTCTCCATTTCTTTTGGCACTAGTCCCTCCAATCAAAAACCCACTAAGGTTTGAAACAAATTTGCCTGCAGTTTCATTGGATTTCATATATCTTCAAGTTGTTAGGCCAAAAAAGAATTGGTGCGAACAACTTACAAATCATGTTTGGTCCATTTCCAAGTGAGCCATTGAGCCATACCCCTTCCCATCTCATTATACTAGTTGGTTGAAAACGGTTTCCCTACTATGGGCAGCAATCAATTTACAAGGGTATTTTGAACTATATAATTGGTGGTTGAGCCACCCCGTCGAAAAATATGAGTTCGTCAGATTGGATCATCATCCCAACTATTGAGGAAAAAATAATGTTCCAAACCACCATCCAGTATATATAAATATATCCCTATTCCAATCCCTATAACCAGATTAACTACTATTAACCACTATTAACTACTATTAACCACTATTAACCACTATTAACCACTATTAACCACCATTAACCACTATTAACCACTATTAACCGCTATTAACCACTATTAGCCACTATTCACCACTATTAACCACTATTAACCACTATTAACCACTATCATATCACTATTAACCACTATTAACCACTATCATATCACTATTAACCACTATTAACCACTATCACATCACTATTAACCACTATTAACCACTATCACATCACTATTAACCACTATTAACCACTATTAACCGCTATTAACCGCTATTAACCACTATTAACCACGATTAACCACTATTAACCACTATTAACCACTATTAACTACTATTAACCACTATTAACCACTATTGACCACTATTGACCACTATTAACCACTATTAACCACTATTAACTACTCTTAACCACTATCAGCAACTCTTAACCACTATTAACCACTATTAACCACTATCATATCACTATTAACCACTATTAACCACTATTAACCACTATTAACCACTATCACATCACTATTAACCACTATTAACCGCTATTAACCACTATGAACCACTATTAACCACTATTAACCACTATTAACCACTATCATATCACTATTAACCACTATCATATCACTATTAACCACTATTAACCACTATTAACCACTATTAAGCACTATTAACAACTATTAACCACTATTAGCCACTATTATCCACTATTAACTAATAGTAACAACTATTAACTACTATTAACAACTATTAACCACTATTAACCACTATTAACCACTATTAGCCACTATTATCCACTATTAACTACTATTAACTACTATTAACCACTATCAGCAACTATTAACCACTATTAACCACTATTAAGCACTATTAAGCACTATTAACCACTATTAACCACTATCACATCACTATTAACCACTATTAACCACTATTAACCGCTATTAACCGCTATTGACCACTATTAACCACTATTAACCACGATTAACCACTATTAACCACTATCAGCAACTCTTAACCACTATTAACCACTATTAACCACTATTGACCACTATTGTATCACTATTAACCACTATTAACCACTATTAACTACTATTAACCACTATCAGCAACTAACCACTATTAACCACTATTATCCACTATTAACTACTATTAACAACTATTAACTACTATTAACCACTATTAAGCACTATTAAGCACTATTAAGCACTATTAACCACTATTAACCACTATTAGCCACTATTATCCACTATTAACTACTATTAACAACTATTAACTACTATTAACAACTATTAACCACTATTAACCACTATTAGCCACTATTATCCACTATTAACAACTATTAACTACTATTAACAACTATTAAGCACTATTAAGCACTATTAAGCACTATTAAGCACTATTAAGCACTATTAACCACTATTAAGCACTATTAACCACTATTAAGCACTATTAAGCACTATTAACCACTATTAACCACTATCAACAACTATTAACCACTGTTAACCACTATTAACCGCTATTAACCACTATTAACCACTATTAACCACTATTACCCACTATTACCCACTATTAACCACTAATAACCACTATTAACCACTATCATATCACTATTAAATCACTATTTAACTATTGTGCGTCATCCAACCGGCATCATCCAGCTACTAAAAATCACCGAAAAAATTATCCGACAGTCCGACAGTGGAAACACATGTGCCGCGGTGAACATACCATTCCCAGTCATGGCTGCTATCTCCAAACATATAAAACCATGGTAAACCCTATATAAAAACATAGACAGTAAAACCCAAAGAAAACCCCATCTGGTTGGGTAATGGTATAGTGAAACATATTGTAATAGGTTAGTGGAACAAATGGTATTATTATATATTATTATGGTATATTGAAATATTATAATGGTATATGATATGGATCTGGGTAAATTGTAATATTTCCCTATCCTGAATTCTTGGGCCATTTGGGAATGATTTCCCTTCTTAACCATGATTCCAGGGTTCGGGAGAACAGTGAGGTCGTTATAATTTACCCATATATACATATATAATAATATATATATATACAAACTTATGATATAAATGGTATTAAATAATAACGATATGTCATGATGTATAATGATATATAATCTATAATGTTTACCCAGATGGATGTATATGGGGTATGGTCAGGTATGGTCATCCCATCATCATGAATAGGATTCCTCATGATTTCTCACAGTGGGCATACCCCCTATGAATGGCAAAATTATCTTGTTCTTTTATGGGAAAACACATCATGTTTTGACCATGGCACTTGGAGGCTTGTTTCCAACATAGAGTAACTTACAATTCAAGATCTTAGATGCCAGAAGATCGTCATGTACTATCTTTTATCTGGTCAAAGAAATACATGATATATATATAATATAATATAATATTCATCTCCCATTTATCTAGCAAATACAAGTCTGGTTGGTGATATACCTACCCCTCTGAAAAATATGAAAGTCACTTGAGATTATTTTTCCCAATATATAGGAAAAAAAACATTTTCCAAACCACCAACCAAATGAAACATGGGAATAGATCACCATGTAAGAATATGCATGTCACCCAACCAAGCAGCCTCACACATGAAGCAGGCGTGGCTAAGATGGTCTGCATGGTGACAAAGGCTGCCGGGTGCTTGAACACCTCATAGAATGTGAACTCGTGGAACCCGGACTTGAGTTCCAAGATGCCGTGCTCATCGTCATAGAGCAGCCTCATGAACACAATGAACATCATGACACCGTGAACACAATGAACATCATTAGATATGCAGAAAAATGCCTCCAAAGTGCGACTCGTTCATCATCATGTGCAGCCGGTGTTCCCATCCATCTCCGAATTTTTCATATGAGGTTTTGTAGCTGTCACCAGTTGCCTTGTACCCATGAATGGGCACCCTCATGCGCCACATGTGCGCTGTGCCATGGAGGTCCTGTACCTTGGATCAGAAATCATATGAGAGGATTCATTGCAAAGCAAGACAACACATGTCTATCAAGAAATCATATGCCTATCAAGAGTATCCAGACAACACATGTCTATCTTTGCCAAAGCATACATTTGGAGAAAACTTGTGGTTTCACCCTGGAAAATTGTGAAAAACTGGTTATACCCTTCAAGTCATATATCAACTTATATCACGTATATCAACTTATACACCCTGGAAAATTGTGGTATCAAACTACTACCCATCCGGTCAAAAAAAAACCGCCCTCGAAGAAGCACCTCTGCAGAAACTTCGGATCCCTGGGCAGTGGCGGTGTCGCAAGAGATTTGACACGGCAAGAGGTTCGTACAAGGTGGTGCCCCCTTTCGATAGCTAAGTTGGTGAACATAACTCCAATAACTATGGTTTATAGGAGATATATCTATATATAGTTAGTGGGCTTATAACCAATTTATAACTGGGGGGGGCACCACCTTGTAGGTGAGCCATTCATTTACACAAAATCAATGGATTGGTTGAAGGGAAAATCTTAAACGAAAACCCATGGGTTTTACCATCAAATTGATCGGAGTTTCCGGTTTAAATTTTCCCATCATCCAATTCTATGACAAAAACACGATTAGAGATATAGCTATTGAAAATGGTGATTTATAGTGGATTTACCCATTAAAAATGTTCTGCAAAATAACTAGTATGTTCTCCTTTGATGTCCTTCAATATTGATTATAAGTATAAGAAACAAGATGATCATGACAACAACAAGATAACACCGCCATTGTTGGATGCAACATAATTGCCTCCCCCTAGTTATGACTGGCTTAGTATTGGATTTCTATTCATTTGGAGTCCCTCAGTGGGTATTTCAAATCAGATGGATAGCATCGAAACCAATGCTAGAGTAGATCTGAACCGACATCCACTGACAAGTATTGCCATATTGCCTCTGATAAATTCACTCTGATCCAGCTAGAAACATGCATTCATAGGGAATGTTCCAATATTTTCCATAATTTGTAATATACATTACTGGTCGGTGGTATACCTACCCCTCTGAAAAATATGAGTTCGTCAATGGGGTTGGGATGACATCCTATATATGAAATGGAAAATAAAAATCATGTTCCAAACCACCAACCAGAGAAGTACTGGCACTATCTGGATGATTGCTGACCGTACTGGTAGTACCTCTGGTCCTCACTACATTGGCTTGTACAGTAAACAGATAAACAGTATCAAATTGAACCAGCCCAAATTGCCATCGATTTCAATATCTTACAATCATTGAAATGAATCAACCCAAAAAGTGTCATCTGTCCAACTAACATAGATTCCCCGGGTGGAAGACACATTTCCTCTATTTATTTGTGATTCTGAGGGCCAAATTGTTACTTTCGAGGGGGATAGTAGTTCGGCAATTATTGTATGATGCATGTCCATCCAAGTAGGCACTATGTTCCCCTTGCAGTTCGCTTACCAAGTGGGTGGCTGCATTATTCTGTCAACTGGTTGGTGGTTTTAACCATTTTGAAAAATAGCCAATGGGAAGGATGACATCCCATATATGAAATGGAAAATGAAAAATCTTTGAAACCACCAATCATATATTATCTGTATATAAACATATACATCCGCATTTCGGCTGGTTGCTTGTAGAACTTTGTACCATGCGAATGGGCCCCCCATTTTTGGACAGTTTCAGGCCTCAGCTTCTCGACTCTTTGCCTAGAAGGTGCGAGACAAATCGGATGGAACAGCATCCAGCTGGAAGATACTTCATATGGATCCATACTTTAAGATTTACAGTAAAATTAATGGTATACCGTACGCATCTGTATACCATATTTTAGTATTTTAGTATCCATGTTTACCATACCATCCAGCTAACATGGAACAGCATTAGCATAAAGCAATAGGATCCACAATCCCCAATGTTACCATAAATGGGTGGTATAAACATTATATATAAACTATCAGTTTTATATGGGTGCGTTATTGCTGGTTTACCAACATAGTAAATTTTAAACATTATCCATTGAAAAGGGTCGAGCAAGGTACATCGACATCTCATGGCATAAACCACATTTCTCATAAACGATGATCAAATGTAGGCCATAGAATGGGGGAGACCCATCACGGACCAACCTGAATGGGCATTTTATATATTTATGTCACTAGAAACAATAAAAATGTAACCAAACAAATATGTGATACGCTGCAATCTATGCAATCTGAAGGTTTCTTAAATTAAAAAAGGGACTCCAAGAATCTAGCCATGCAGTTTCGATTCAAGTCGAAAGTCAAGTTGAGAGAAGCAAACAAAAAGAGAACACATCTGATTGAAACTTTGGAAACTGGTTCACTTAAAATTGCCTGTTTTAGCACTTTACCAAGCTGGATATCAAACATCTTAAGATATCCTACCCTCTGGTAAACTAACACAGCTATTGAAAATGGCCATAGAAGTAGTGGATTTACCCATAAAAAAAAGGGTGACTTTCCATACTTACGTTAGTTTGGTAAGATGATTCCCCTATTACCTGGAGAATCCGGCGAATGGGATCTGGTGAACTAACCCCAATTACGAAGCCGGCAAGATCACTGCAGTCACAAAGGACTTGGGACATTGACACATTGACTGATTGGTGGTTTTTCGCCACCCCTCTGAAAAATGATGAACATCCAAAAACTATGGTTTATGATCATTTCTGAAACTACATAGCTATAGTTAATGACTGGTTAGTGGTGCAATAACCATCTTGAAAAATATGAGTTCGTCGATGGGAAGGATTACCCCATATATTATGGGTGGTATACCTACCCCTCTGAAAAATGATGGAGTGAGTTCGTCACGTGGGATGATGAAATTCCCAACTGAATGGAAAGTCATAAAATTCCATGGTTCCAAACCACCAAACAGTGATTCTTAACAATTATTAACCATTATATTAGCCATGATTAACCATCATTACCCCACTAACCATTTATGATCCATTCATGTTCCAGTCACCACCAAACAGATTGAGTACTTGGAAGATTATCCCCAGGATCTGAAAAAAAACCTAGCTGGTCTGGCTAGTAATGTCACTCCTGAATAAGCCCTGCTTACGTCTCTTTAATTGGGGGGATAGCATAAACAAGTATCAGATGGAATGACTATTTGAGGAGTACCCCCTAATTAATAAACCATGGTTTATTAATCCGAGGTTGACATTAACCTTGATCATGAACAATCTTTAGCCATCTTAGATCAGACTTCCAGTTTTTTTTCAAACATGACTAACATGACCAACACATCTTGCGACGATCGTCGGGCCCCTAAGTCGTTCCTCCCTTTATAGACATCCTAAGCACATTATGATCTCTATGGCATTAGCTCTTGATGTACGTCGAATTCCCATCGTGCATTCACATGATATAGATGAATCTCCGTGACCGAAGGACACATGCGAAACAGCCTCTAGTTGCAACTATCCTGGATCGCGTATGTGGATCAGAAAGGCAATCAAGCCAAAGTATGAATACTGTTGGTTGTCGTCACAAGTTGCTGATTCCATACATGAAGGGCCCCCCCAGTGTTTCGTTTACAACACCATCACACTATAGATATACATCTACCAAAAACCACAGTTAGCCTATAGTTATGAACCGATTTACCTATCTAGGGAACCCCTTCCTGATCCTGCAGGTCTTATCACATTAATCTCGAGGAAGTTATATAATTCAACAGGACTCAACTCCTTCCAGCCAACATGGAAATACCGAGCTTGATTCATGCCAAACATCACACCCACCAAGGTCGTACCAACCTAAGTGGTGTGTTTGAGCCAGACAACCTAAGGGATCTTACATACCTACGCAAGCCAGGATCCAAGAAACGCAATAAAGAATTTGGAAGAGATGCAGTTGATATGGGATCCACATATTCTCTGCTTATACAAGTAGGATTCATTAAGATTCCGTATGGTGGGTATTCTGCTTTGGCGGGGGATGACGCTAATCAAAACCATCAGTCGATGTGGCGATGTGAGGTCACTCCATGCCGCAACACAATTCATCCACTTAGGTTACATCCGGATCTGTTGTGATTATGATTACAGTGATGTCGTATTCTGGTTGAAGTTTTAAGAAAACTGGCTCAGATGTTGAACATTCCCATAAACGGATACGGATGTGTGATGTCTGCCTCACTGAGATCCAAGAGCTAAACCACTAGTTGCCTAGTATCAGTCATGCAGTAAATACAATAAATGGGTGTTCAGTTTTTGGCTAAATCAGCATGAATCATCTACAAATGGGCCGTTTTCCATCGCAAACTGTCATGACCAGAGGCTAAACCGCTTTTTGATGTTGAACGAAAACCACTGAAATGTAGGGCCCCCAAACGATAGCTAAGTTGGTGAACATACCTCCAATAACTATGGTTTATGATACTTATAACCATTAATAAGTATTCTGTTCACCAACTTAGCTATCGTTTTTTGGGGGCCCCACATTGTTTCACACCGAGTTCCTTCGAGTTCTTAAAGCAGAACAAAACAGCTGAGAAGCGAAGATTGTCATGGCAATGAGCAGGGCAAAGTCCAGTTGCGCCTCGGAGTCCGACTCGAAGCCGTTGCGATGTTTGTTTCGTCCCCGTTTTCTGTGGTGAACTCCCACTGGGAAATCACCAATCTCATATGCTCCTGTATGGTATATTGACCTACAAAACTGGGTGATTTTGTTCGGGCAACTGTTGGAACAAAATAAATAAATCTTCCATACATGGAGCATATTAATGGGAATGGAGAATCCATGTCCTTTTTTTTTGGTAGTTCCTTAAGCAAATCTACAGTTATGGCCATTTATTAGTTATAACCAGCTATAACCCCATTTATAGAATGTATAATCCCATAGAAATAACCAGTTATAACTGATAAATGGCCATAACTGTACGTTAAAGATGAGGGTCATCAAGGATTAACCATTCGAAATATGGCAATCTGGCTGAGTCATGGCTGAGTCACCCCCATATTCCCAGCAGAAATGCTGAAAAGTGGTGGTTTTTCACTGGCCGAACACCTGGCCGAAGCATAAACAAAATGGTGATTAAATATGAGTTAATCCAATTAATCCAATTAGAATCTATGATCGACAAATGGGATTCAGCCGGATTTTGTCCAAAAATGAGGGTATACCCGAAGATTGTTGTCTGGATGTTGTCTGGTTGGTGGTTGAGCCACCCCTCTGAAAAATATGAAAGTCAAATGGGATTATTGTTCCCAATATATGGAAAAATGTTCCAAACCACCAACCAGTTGTTGTAATTTGGAATATGATGATCAACAATCACATCTGGCAGATCCACTAAAATTCAGTCAAAACCAAATAGGCCCTTGTTAACAAGCAAGTGAGTGATCATCCGTGATCTGCAACACTTGCTCATTAAAGTGATGTGTTCAGCCCCCAAAATACAGGAGGTAATCCTAGGTTCTGCAGTTTCACGAATAAAACACGTTTGTATTGAGCACGATCTTTTTTTTGGGTACAAGAATATGCACACACCAGTGCCGACTTCTGCTTCATGTATGAAGAAAAACAAAAAAATCTTTGGCAAAGACACCCTTTTCTTGGCCCATTGACACCGGTAGGACTTGGTGCCCCGCCACTGGGTATACTGGAAACTACAGCATGCCTATGTGCATGTGGATATCCAACCTTCGTTGCACAAGACTTTGTAACTTCTGCTGGGATTTCATGATATCCTGTGCGCTCCATCAAAATGGCAACAGAAAAAAAAACACACACACACCAAAAAAAACAAACGTCCGATCCACTATTCACCTACAGTTACCTCAGGACAATCTCCCAATCTGCTTACCCAGTAATATCAAAACAGGCGCTTCAAAAGGCTCGATTTACACCATTTGGATCCATTTAGATATATACTTAGTATGTACCTCATTTCTCAGCTATGTTTGATTAGCAAAAAATCGCGAGAACTAACCAATCCACATTCTGAATGGTTGAATCCATATGTCTGGCGCGCCATGATCACCAAGTCTTGGCATCTTTTGGAAGGCGCGCTTCCGCAGTCCGTGCAGCAACCTTCATCCACCACTTCCTAATGGCCTCGATGCCAAATACCCTGCAGTTTGTCCATCGTGGCTAGGTCAACTTGGTCAACTGCATCCAAATTGTCCTGCAGCCGACGGTGGCAAGGGTGAATGGTTGTCCATTCACCATTGCAAACGTTAGCTGCAGGACAATTTGGATGCAATTCAGGCGCTGATTGAATCTGGTGCGCTGGTGATACACAAATTTGGTCACTTGATTCTTGTTGGCACCGGCTTCAACCAGTACACGGATCGAGATGACCCGCTTGAGCTGCAGAATACAATGTTGTTTCAGCAGTTCTTGTGGCTAAATCCTTGCTGGCCCCAACCTCAACCAGAAAGTTGACAATTTCAAGATGACTTCTCTTAGCTGCAATGCGCAAGGGTCCATGGTGTTGATCCCAAAGTTGAGCGTTGATCTTTGTTCGCCCCAACTTCGACCAAGAATCTGACAACATCAAGATGGCCTGCTATAGCAGCATGATGCAATGGTGTTGACCACCAAAAAATTGTAAGCTGAGCCTTGTTGGTGCCAGCATCAACCAGGAAGCGGACAATGTTGAGATGGCCATTCTGTGCGGCAGTGTGCAGTTGTGTTTGCCAATTTTTTCAAAGAATGGCTGGTCTGTGCTGGCCCCAATGCCTACGAGAAAGCAAACAATGTCGAAGTGGCCAAAGAGTCGGATGCGAAATGCAGTGGCGTCATCCCAGAATCGCTTGACTGATCCGTGTTCGCGCCGACAGCAACCGCCGGACAATGTCAACACATGATCGATGGATGCAAAGGCTGCATTTTGGGCTCCAATTTTCCAGTCTGCAGTTATGGCCATTTATTAGTTATAAGTACTTATAACCCCATTTATAGAATGTATAATCCCATTTATAACCGCGGAGTTTTCCCCTGCTGTCATCGACGCTGGGATTCCGAGGTCTTTGCAGCAACCGTTTCGCGCTTCAGCTGAGCCAAAAAACCTAAAATCATCTGGAATTTACCATAGCTATTGAAAATGGCCATAGAAATAGTGGATTTACCCATTGAAAATGGTGATTTTCCATAGTTATGATGGATAATTATGAATAGCTGCTTGGTGGTGCAATTTCACCTGAAAAATGATGGAGTTCGTCATAGTTCGTCAATGGTTGGAGGATGACATCCCATTTATGACATGGATTATTATGGAAAGTCATAAAATTCCATGGTTTGAAATCACCAACCAGATTAACCACTATTAACCACTATTAACCACTATAAACCACCATAAACCACCATTAACCACTGGAATCTCGGCTCGTCATCTTTCGAGTCGTCTCGCCGGATTTTTATTTTTCGTGCCGTCCCGTCTCGCCGGAGACTCCGGAGGTTCTGCAGGTGACACTTGCCGCAAAATGGCTGCAGTACTCACAATCTTTCACTTGAAAATCACCAATAAAAGATACAAGGTGGTGCCCCAAGATAGCTAAGTTGGTTTATAACTCCAACAACTATGGTTTTTGTTGGTGATATATCTATAGTATTCATGGGCTTATAAACCAACTTATAACTGGGGGGGGGCACCACCTTGTACAACAAGTACATCTTCCTCATAACATTAATATAACAGGTAGATAAATATGGAACACTGTGAAAGAGCATCTGATCGATCTATCATTCATGTTCCTTCTCGTTACAACAGCTCAATCCACTGGACCAAACTCTGGCCCAATGACTGGGAACCAACTGCGAGCGCCCGGGATTTCAGCTCCCTGGTATAAATGGTTTGGGTTTTTGACGCTCACATAGATGTGCATCCCAGAGATAGCAAGTCAGCAATAACCTTTTTTTTTGCCAAGTTGTGGGATATAACATAATATACCATGATATACCATGATATACCACAGTCTTAGGGCTATGAAAATATCTATGAATCACCTACGACAAAAAGCCGAGTATCAACTCCAAATCCAAGGGTGCCAATGATGTGATATGTGTTATCCCAGGCTCCAACTGATCCAGGTGGCTGAAATCTCTAATTCTTCATGGATTCATATGGATTCAGTGGATGGATCCCGAGTTTTGCCAAACTGCTTCAACCACTACTGGTTGGTGGTTGAACCTACCCCTCTGAAACATGATGGAGTTCGTCACTGGGGATGATGACATTCCCAATATGATGGGAAAAATAAAACATGTTCCAGTCACCAACAACCAGACTATTTTAAGCACCATTTTTCATGGTTAAACGCGGCTTTTTCCCACCTTTGCTGTAAGCGCAACTCCTGATGGCTGATCTCGGGTTCCAGGCATCATGCCGCGCTTGGGTATCGACCTCAAGTTGTCGCCGGGATGGATCCCAGTTGATACCCGCATAAACTTGCCTCTGTGAAAAATGCTACAAAGTGGTGCCCCAGTTCGAGAACGCTAAGTTGGTGAACATAACTCCAATTTCACTATGGTTTATAGGTGATATATAGGTGATATATCTATAGTTAATGGGCTTAATAGTTAGCTAAATTGGTTTATAACTCCAATAACTATGGTTTTTGTTGGTGATATATCTATAGTATTCATGGGCTTATTTCACCAATTTATAACTGGGGGGGGCACCACCTTGTGGGTTTATCCTTGCCTCTCTCGAAAAAACCGGGGTAGCTGCCCAAAAACCTTCACGTCAAAACATGTGTTGTTTGGACTGACATCGCCGCATGGCATCAATTTGTTATCATTATTTGCACTGTGGTGCCCCCCCCCCAGTTATAAATCGAGTACAAGTCCATTACCTATAGATGTATCACCTATAAACCATAGTTATTGGAGTTATAAACCAACTTAGCTATCTTGGGGGCACCACCTTGTGTAATACAACTTCCAAGCCTCACACTATCTTTAATCATTCGATTGGTTCAAGGGGAAATTGAAACCTTAAACCCCAATCATTTTGATGGTAACAAGCAGCCAGTCTTTTCTTCATCGCCACCATCCATCTAAAGGTTCACAAACAACAACGACCCGACCCTTCTTTCCAAGGCATCTTGATAAATGTTCATCATCATGTTCCCAAGTGTTTCACCATATTTCTGATGGGGATAAACCATCTTCAACCATGTCAAAGCATATTTCATGGCCTTTCCAGGGGGTCCAGGCCCGAAAAAAATCCCAAAACTCTCCACGCATCTTCCAGGTCAAGGTACCAGATAGGGCTTCCCCTCGGGGTCAATGCGCATCGCCTCCCCATCGGAACACAACTCAGAACGGAAGTCGCCCTTGTACCTGGCGCAAAGAAGCTGGATGGGGAGATGATTTTTTGGATGGCTAGTAAGTTGGACAGCGTATGCATATAACCTACAATGTGGGGCCCCCCAGTTATAAGTTGGTTTATAAACCCCATTAACCATAGTTATAAGTACAATAAACCATAGTTATTGGAGTCATAAACCAACTTAGCTATCTAGGGGGCCCCACATTGTATATTACTAGTATGTAATTTTCATGAGGAAATCGAAGCTTTGCCTATACTATGCATAAACCATCATAAACCTATATGATGAGAATTATGCTGGGGCTTATCCAGCAACCATGGGGAACTCACCACAAAAAATACCAGAAGTTATCCAACAAAATGTTGGATTTGCAAAACAAACATGTGGGACTTTACTTAGCAGAATTATGGACGCACTTTGTTAACTATGGAGGTAAAAAACTGAGGATATCACAGGGTTGATCAACAAGTATGGGATGTGGTATGGGCTACTAACCAGTTCAGCAAGAATCTGAGTGGTTTAATAATAAAGTCGGGGTCGTCATCCCACGGTGATAGATGGGATTCCTGACACGTCTGTATCCACAAAAAACCTAAAATCTCTGGAGTTGAGGCAAATTTAACAAATTGCAGTTGGTGTTTTATTGGATTGGTTTACATTGCCAATCTTAGATACCCTGCAAAAAAATATAAATTCTTCACATTGATACCAAAAGACTAGTTAGGATTAGTTTGTATCCATCCAAGATTGACCTAGTTTAAGGTAAAATCTTGACCGGAAAGCATAAGAAATTTCCCATGAAATATGTGGGTTTCCTGTAAACAATCCCTTAAACCCATCCTGATTTCATGTTGATTTCGTGTAGGTCGTTGATGGTGCCTGGTGCCCCTGACAAGGACACACAAAAAAATAGCCCAACGATTCCATAGTAAGCTTGGTGTACAACTACCATAACTGCTTGTAGTGGGTTCCCCCAGTGAAATGTTTGTTGGTATATACACCTAACTAACTATAATTAGATACTTATAACTTATAACTACCATAAACTCCAGTTTTCATCCAGTTATCAACTGACCTATCGGGTCTGGGGGCCCCATCTTGTGTTAAATATGGTCATAACATTCACGTGACACACGCCCGTGGCAGCCATCCTTAGACAGTTCTCATGAAGTTCTGATGGCTTGATCCACGAAAATGCGAACGAAACACATCAGGGTTGAGACTAAAGCAACAAGGTGGTGCCCCCCCAGTTGTAAGTTGGTTCTTAAACCCCATTAACTATAGATAATTATAGATATATCTACCATAAACCATAGTGAAATTGGAGTTATGTTCACCAACTTAGCTAACGAACTGGGGCACCACCTTGAACAAACTCTTTTTGGAGCACATGGTATGACAAATGAACATGCATTCATATCAGAATACTTTAGAACATGAAATGATATAAGCCAATAGTTTCCTTCAGCAAGAAATAATATGTATTGAACAATAACCTATACTCTAGCACGGCAAGACTTCCCCAGCGGCACATGGTGAAAGAGCTCAGTTGGTTCCGACGATGCACCTGGCGGTCGTATCCATACAACCACGCTTACGTTTGTTGCTTCTGATAATACTTGGTTTCGTTTGAATTAATATATATATATAAATATGTATATATATAATGGAATATGTATGGGGTCCATATAATACCGAGATTTTGTTTGGATTGAATTAATGTACGTACGCGCACGTCGATTTTTTTCAATTCGTTGCTTCTGTCCTCGCGTGTTTTCTTTTTTCCCGCTGGTGGTGTGGCCTTTTTGCCACCTAGCTATAGAAAGACATGCGATTGTCATCTCTTTTGCTGGAATCGGAAAGAAGAAATCAGGAAAATGAGATGACAATCAAATATGCAAGTTAAATGCAAGGCAGCTGAAATAGAGCTAATGGGAAACAAACAAATGAAAAATCATGAGCACTCGTTAACCAGACATGATTTTTGCCGCACAAATGGATGGAGGAACAGGTTTGATATATTTTGATATTTCAACACCAAGCATAGGAAAGGACAAGGGTAAACAATGTTTTGATTTCCCCAAAGGAAGAGACTTGGCAACTAGTTAGATCCGGGCAAAATAGAGATGGCGGACACACCATGTTGACTAAAACAAAAAAACATCCTTTCCCATCCATGACTGTGGCCGAACAGCTAGAGCAAGGAGATACAGATATAATATGGCGAACCCAACAAAGAAAATACATGCTTTACTCAACTGATCCCTGAGGATACACTCGAAGCATGTACCTACAAGATGGACATATACAAGGCGGGGGCCCCCAAGATAGATAAGATAGATAAGTTGCTGGGCAGTTGTGGCAGTTATGGCAGTACAGTCAGATGGCCAAACCAACAAACCCCAAAGTCAAACGAGCCGAATTGTGTGGACATTTCTACTGTAGGTGGACCCCAGGAATCGCAAGTAGCCTAGTTCACCCCAGAAAAGGTGAATTAAGCCTACAATGTGGGGCCCCCTAGATAGCAAAGTTGGTGAACATAACTCCAATAACTATGGTTTATTGTACTTATAACTATGGTATTCATGGGGTTTATAAACCAACAAACATCACTGGGGGGACCCACATTGTACTTGTCCCATGGAAATAACCAGGGTTTCCCAAGCCACTTGCGACGTTGCACACGTTGCGCTGAGCATCCCCACCCCCTCGTCAACTCCAAGAAAGGACGCGACCTATGCTGCAGTCGTCTCGTGAAGGAAGCTTCAGACTGTTCAAAATCTTACGGAATTGGGATTAAGCCTCAAAGAATTGGTGTCTTTAACCATTAAGGTTTTTGGGGATTGATCGGATTGATTTAACCATCAATAAATGCTGGTTTAAGCATCAAACATGGCGATTCAACCATCACAAATGGGGGTTCTACTATGAAACATGGTGATTTGGCCATCAACAATAAAGGATGATTGGTGAGTATCATAATGAGGAAAACAACTGCGACACTGATGATGAAACACGATGAACCAAAACGTGTCCTACTTGCAACGATAATGACTGCTGTTGCGGGTTCTAAGGGTACTGGTTGGTGGTTTCAACCCCTGTGAAAAATATTAGTCAGTTGGGATTATTATTCCCAATATATATGGAAAACATGTTCCAAACCACCAACCAGTAATATGGAGCACTTCAGGGTTGCAGAGTGTTTTCATGTCAAAACTGAAATTAGCTGATGATAGCCGATGAATCATACTGCCTGCGTCAGCCGTTCACAAAATCCCTACAATGTGGGCCCCCCCAGTAATGTTTGTTGGTTTATAAACACCATGAATAATATAGTTTTTTGCGTACAATAAACCATAGTGAAATTGGAGTTATGTTCACCAACTTAGCGATTTCGTTTACGTGGGCCCGGAGCCTTGTAATGTTCCGACGAAACACAGCCCCAATCGGGTTGTCTGAATGGGTTCCAACCCTCAGGCCACGGTGAATCTTAGATACCAGTCCTTTTTTTGCCAGGGTGTGTCAATGGGAATAAAACAGGATCCGATTTAATGGAGGTACGCTAATACTGTACCATATTTCTGGCCAAATTTTGTGGGGATATTCCCTTACAGAGGCCTGAAAAATAGGCCTTATATATGGTAGGTACCTCCAATTTAGGTTCCTGAAATGGCCATTGAGTGTGTTCATTTTACCATTTATAGCAAAAGATTAAGGTACCAAAGTCTCTAACCAAGGTTGATCGCGAGGTTTACCACTCAACTTGCGATGGATTGGGATATACACGGTTTACCAACATACATACCATTGCAACTTGGTGGTCTTTCATGGCTAAGTATGCATCCGTTTTAGGCAGGTTTATAGGGTTTTTCATGATGGGTCATCACAGTCCAAAAGCGATAACATCACCCAGCACCTAAACGTACCGTACAAACGACGCCTATTTACATTATAATTATTACATATATGAATATATGATATATATATATATATAATATATATATATATATATCACCAGCTTGGCCACACAGAGGCTGCCAATGTGAGACTGATCATCTTCTCCGAAACAACCCTTTTTTCAGTGCATATGAAAAATGAAGATAAACCACCACAGCGGCTTTAGCACAAACCCTTTTTTCAAGCAAACCCAAATAATCACAGAACAGATCGAATACACTTACCTTTCAATTTCTACACAGTTTTTCTGTCTGGAGGGTACAATTTAATTTCAAATTACATATGAGCCACAGTCAAAATTTACTGTTAAGCGGAAGTGCGTCATCAAGTTAGTGAGTCCCCTGTCGTTTTACAGGGTTTCCTGGTATGGCGGCGGTGATGGGTAGGATCATAGCCTGGCATGCATCATCTTTGAAATTTGTTCTTGAAAATCCTCCGCCATCCGTTCTTGCCATGTCGGCTCTCCGATAAAATACGGAAGGGCTGGCGGAGAGTGGGAAAATTGCAGGCCGTCATCTTCCCATATGTACATGTCGCCAATCTGTATGACGTTCAGCATGTCTGAGTATCCGCCAACAGCAGGCGAAGACGAAGGGGCCTCGTCACGTAGAATGTTCGAAAAAAAAACATACACGCATGGTTTTCTCGCTGATCTTGAAGATTGGCTCGGTAATGGTGTGAATATATTTGGCAATTGCGGGCACTAGAGGTCCATGGCTTGGACATTCAAAGACTATCTCTATTTGATTTGCTAGTTTCATATCTGCTATCAATCTTGCTGTCCCGGAGTATACTTGAGAAGGGGTGACACGAAAGGTAGTTGTGTCACAGGGGACGCGGGGGATCACTCAGTGCGACGACCGGGCCCTTTTCTGTTGACACCAAGCCTTAGGCTTGTCAATATGGACGTCGTGCGCCAGCAAATCACCGCTTTGACAGAACGAAGGGAAAAATTCTGTCCAACCGAAGCATGGAGAAGCGCCGACGTTCCTTTGCTTCACCCGTTTGCTTGCAAAAGTTAAAGTGACGTGGCAAATGGATGTCGAAAAATCCGAATCGCAAGTCGACTGATGATGATGATGATGATGATGATGGTGATGATGATGAGGATGATGACGATGATGCTGATGATGAGACACTGCGGAGGGGCTGCTGCGTGAAGAGACGCACAAGGCATGTGACGAGAGTTCACTTGGGGGGGGGCATGGAACTGGACATTCAGAGCAGAGCGGACATATCTGGATCCGAAAAGAGAGCACCCCACGATGTCCATGGTTGCTCATCACTTAGTACATTTAAATATCCATTTGGAGGTATACATTGTCAGACACACGCATCGTGCGGGGGAGAAGAAAACACGATCGGTGTTAGCACAAACTCCAATGTCTGTCTTTTTTTGCGGTACCTATGGATGCTCGAACCTGTCACTTTCATCGCACCGTTGGGTACTTGGAAAATGGATGTCGAAAAATCCGAATCGCAAGTCGACTGATGATGATGATGATGAGGAAGATGATGATGATGAGATGAGACACTGCGAAGGGGCTGCTGCGTGAAGAGACGCACAAGGCATGTGACGGGAGTTCACTTGGGGGGGGGCATGGAACTGGACATTCAGAGCAGAGCGGAGATATCTGGATCCGAAAAGAGAGCACCCCACGATGCCATTTAAATAGCCATTTGCAGGTATACCTTGTCAGACACACGCATCGTGCGGGGGAGAAAAAAACACGATCGGTGTTAGCACAAACTCCAATGTCTCTTTTTGCGGTACCTATGGATGCTCGAACCTGTCACTTTCATCGCAACGTTGGGTACTTGGAAAATGGATGTCGAAAAATCCGAATTTCAAGTCAAATGATGATGGTGATGAGGAGGATGATGATGATGATGATAATGTTGATGATGATGATGATGATGGTGATGATGACGAGACACTGCGAAGGGGCTGCTGCGTGAAGAGACTCACCAGGCATATGGCGAGAGTTCCCTTCGATGGGGGGGAGAGGGGGGAGGTCCCTTTCTCCTGGTCGTTCAAGGATAAGGGGTCCAGCCCGCCCCTTTGCTTCGCAAAGTAAAACTCAAGGTAGCCCGCTAGGAGGCTACCTTTCGTGATATGCACTAGTACCATGGAAATTTGATATAATATATCTTAGCACCTATTGTCATATGTTACAGGATACAACTAGACATTCATCAGCTAACCATCAGCCACTCTGGATTGTATCCCAAGTTTTGTCAGCGGTCAACCCACCCCTTGCTGATGTTTCCCTGGGCCCTAACTAGTCAACAAGAGCTTTGATCGATGCTCACATCATGGCCAATCTGAGATACCCTGCAACAAAAAAAACGCTTCGTTCGTTCGTTCATGGCACTAAAGATAAAAGTAGACCGATTGTTAATAATCATTATCATCAATATTCTATATAAATTGATCGTTATATTCATACTTATAGTATTAAAAGGTATAATAATATAGAGAATTACAACTTATTCTGTATAAATTATCATCAATATCGATCATCAGTTATATATAGTTCTCGTTAATTATAACCTTCCTATTTCTGGCGCAACGAAAAAAAAGGCGCCTGGTGCACTGATCGGCGCGGCACCGAAGGCGCCTTCAGCTCTGAGGCATAGTTGTTGTTTCACGGAAAAATAATAGGCTACAAATGGGTAATAGGTTATAACAATAAGTATATATATATATATTATACAGAAGCAATATACTATTGATAGTAAGTGTGTGTATATATATATATGATAACTAATACACTATTACAAACTATTATATACTGGTTGGTGGCTTGAACCCCTCTGAAAAATATGAAAGTCAATGGGAAGGATGACATCCCATATATGAAATGGAAAATAAAAATCATGTTTGAAACCACCAACCAGTCATAAATGGGTTATTGGTGATTAAAAGTGGTAAATCGTGGTTGATAGTGGTTATTGGTGATAGTGTTAAATAATCCATAACACATATTTATAATCCATAGTGATTAATGATGGTCTTAATGATGATTATATTACTCAATACCTAATATAGTGGTGCTTCATAGTGGTGCATAGTGATGGATGATTAAGTTGCAAATGGTCTCAAAAGTGGGGAGATCATAAACCATACATGGATGACTTAGATTGACTTAGTCAATGGTATTTAACGGGCACTTTGGAAGAACAGTGATGTTGCAGCTAGGTATGGGGAACAAAAAACATTTTTAAAAGGTAATCATAATCATGAATATATAGATGGGAATTTTCAATAGCTATGTTGGCTTACCAACGGGCAATTCCTACTTCCATGATGATTTGGTGTTCATAAATGCGTGATCCCCAATAGCTGATACCTGGATGAATTATTTCATGAAAAATATATGCAAAAAAATGTTGATTTAGAGATATTTAGAGGTACCCCCCATGAATTGGAAACCTCTTTGTGTTACAACAAGAAAAGTAATGGGAATTTAATGGAAAACACTCATTCTAGGTAAACCTTGCGCAAGTGAGACTTCGGGATTTCAGTATGAATGAATCAACAACAGTGGGAATTTACCTGGCACCAGTAGGGATATTCCGCCGCAAAGACAACATATGGGTAGAAGATCCCAAAGAGGTGTGTGATGTCCACATCAGGTCAAAATGCCAGCTAACATGAAAACCACAACTTATAATTGGATTTCACGGGTAATTATGGTGAGTAATGGGATATAACCAACCAAAGTCAGGACAAATATATATATATATATATATATGAAGGAAGTTTAGAAGTCAAACTTCCGACAATATGGACAGATGAGAAGCAGAGCAGGGAAGAGGCAGAGAGAAGGGAAAGATTAGAAGAAAGAAGAGTAAGAAGAAAGAAGATGCAGATGCGTGAAAAGGTAGGAAAGTCGCGAAACACTATCTTTTTCCAATGATTTGGGGCTCCGGAGGGTCGAAAAGTAGGCTCGCTAAAGCGGCGGGTGCGGAGCCAGCTGGCCAGATGAGAGATTAAAAATTGCATGCCGTTGTGGCGCGAAGCACATTCCCAAGTCAAAATGTACAAAACACACCAGGTTCGGACCACTTTCGGCAGTTGAGATGTTGAAAAAGTGCACACCGTTGTGGCGCGAAGCACATTTCCAAGTCAAAATGTACAAAACGCTTCTTTGGCGGCCACTTTCCAAATAATGGATCATCGTGTTCAAGCCGGACCCAACTGTTCCCATCGAGGAGGGGGTTTCCCTGCTATGGGCAATAACAATCCAAAATAACCCAAATAGTATAACTCCCGATAAAAAACCAATCATCAGTGGTACTTTTACATGGTGAATCTTAAATACCTGGCAAAAATCTAGTTTTTGGTTAAGATTAATTTTACCAAAAGATGAAGTTCTACAAAAGTATCCAAGAAAGGTTGGTCCTTTTTTATTGGTTCACTGGTTGGTGGTTGAGCCACCCCTCTGAAAAAAATGAATTCGTCAGTTGGGATGATGAAATTCCCAACTGAATGGAAAGTCATAAAATTCCATGGTTCCAGTCACCACCAACCAGATAAATCACTGTTAATCTGTAGAAAATCCCTATAAACCATACCAATTCCTAGGGCATGTTCCGTGCAGCCGCCGCCACGATCCGGCCAAAACACCTGACCCGCGATGTCCTCCGCCGGCTGACCTGGTCAAACGTGTCGCCGGTGAGGCCGACACCTACCCTCTGGGAATGACTAACAGTTTGCTATTGAAAATGGCCATTTATAGGTGGTTTTCCCATTAAAAATGGTGATTTTCCATAGTTATGTTAGTTTACTAGACACCTAAGTTGACTCAGAACTTGATTCCAGCGCCATCTTTGGCGACAATATTGTATAATCATGGGAAAATGATGGACAATAGTGGATCAACAATAGGATAATAGTGGGATAGTGATGGATAATAGTGGGATATCAATATGGATTTACCCTCTGCTATTGAAAATGGCCATAGAAATAGGTGATTTTCTTATTAAAAATGGTGGATCTTTCCAAAGTTTTTTGTATGTTTACCAGAGGGTAAGTTAACCTTTGGGTTCAAAGGGAATATATAGTATATAGTTAATAGATGTTAATAGGGTTATAAACCAACTTATAACTGGAGGGCCTCACCTTGTGGGAATGCGACATTCCTATACTGTATACTATAAATTGAAAGTTTATAGCTGGGAATATGATCCAAAATTATCCAAAATGTAAAAAACATCCAGCAAACCGGGCTTCATTACCCGAGGGTAATTATATATATATATATGTATAGGATATGCACATTTTCCCGCACTAAAAATGTTGGTTGGTGTCTCAAATAGAACGGTTTCCAGATTCCATGTGGCTTAAATCACTCTGAAACCATGGGTCTGGGTTGGAAGCAAACAGCACTTTCTCGTATTCGAGGCGCTGGTCATGGAGCATTTCCAAGAACATCGCATGATGTCGGGCATCTCACGCTGGCATTTGTTTTGGTCCCACAGTTTCACCAGGTTTTGGCGATCCAAAACCACGATCCAAAACCATGGAGTAGTAATTACCCTCTGGTTATGTCAAAATAGCTATTGAAAATTGCCATTTAAGTAGTTGATTGACCCATTAAACATGGTGATGTTCCATAGTTTTTTGTAGGTTTACCTCAGGGTAATTGTCCTGAGATCGCAGCTTAGTGGGGGCCATGGCTCAATGGCTCCACTTGATGCTATGATGCTATGTGCAGCCCGGGAGCCGTGTGCTGAATGTAAGGACTGCCAGCAAATCAATCCCCTGGATATACCCCCATTAAAATCATGGATATATATATATTCAAGTGCATTAAATTAAAAATATGGGGATATAATCATGCATATTTACTTTTTATCCCAATATCTCAATCATTTATAATCCCGGTATTTTCATGGATATATCATATACACAGTATATCCCATGTAGAAAAAAACATCATATACCTATCCATTTCCATGTTATATCGGTTACATCCCAACATTTTTGCATTTTCCACAGTTATGGCCAGAAATACCAGTTATAACCAGTAACAAAACCCCATTTATAGAATGTTTTTTATCCCATAGAAATAACCAGTTATAACTAATAAATGGCCATAACTGTATATTAGCAATGGCCATTTCAGGAACCTAAATTGGAGGTACCTACCATATATAAGGTCCCAACATTTTGCATTTTCCAACCATCATACTTTCCTCATCTGTGAACCCTTGATGGAACACCTTGGCATCGTCTGGGATACAACTCCACCAGGTTTCGCGCGCCTCCGTCAGCAAAGTAGGCCTGCACGATGTCAGATTTCATCACTTCTCATAGCTATACAGTTAAAGTTAGGTTGATAAATGGTTATAAATTATAATTGGTTGATTAATCTGTCCTAAATTGTTGTAAATTAGGCTATTGTTGCATAATTTGGTTATAGTGGACTTGGAGTTGGTAAGGGGCCATAACTGTATGACCAATCTTAGATAATATATGATAATATCTGGTAATATATGCAAATATCTATAGTTAACTAGGTTTACACCCTCCAGAAACAATGTGCTTTTATTTTATTGGGAATGTAATGGTACATAATTAGGACAGCACTGGGATATTAAGCATCAAACAAGAGAATGTGATTAACGTGCACATAGAGATTCAACCAATATGCGACGTTTTCTATGGGTGAGTCATAATTGCGAATACAATAGGATATAATAGGATGTAATGGGGTATCCCAGTGTTTCCATTATATGTGAATTCATTTCAGTGGGGCAAAAAAAATCAGGGAATTCCATTTTCAGGGAATATGATTATTGGGGACAATATCTGTTGGTTGGTGGGGATGTAGTATTGAAGGGATGAACACTATATAATGACAATGTTTTTCGGGATATGCTGGGATATGTATACCCCAACAATACATAACCAATCCTGGTCTCCGAAAAATAGATAATCATTATTTACAATAAGAAACCAACTCTGATTTTTTGGGTACAGTATCATTTTTTTGATATACATATGATTATTATATATTGCTGTCTCAGAACTTGCTGAAAGAGCTCAAAAAACAGTCCTTGTAGATTTCCCATGTGTCGGATGTCCCATTTGAAAAGCAACAAATCACATTTAAACACGGCCCGTTGTGACATCGCGATGTTGGATGGTAAAGATCCCATGTGATTGTAAAACCACCATTTTGTAAATGATTAAATCACATGGGATCAATCCAAAAATGGTGAACCCCATGGGATACTGATATAAATCACGAAGTAATGGTTTCACTGGGGGGAAACATCACATGAGTATAATGATTAAACCCCCCCAAATGTGATGTGAATGTTGGTTTATAAACCCCATGAATACTATAGTTCTTTGCGTACAATAAACCATAGTGAAATTGGAACTATGTTCACCGACTTAGCGATTTCGTATCTAGGGGGCCAACCACCATTGTGTAAATTATGAAAACCATCATAATTGTTGATGGTTTTCTCCACCTCTAAGGTGGTGCCCCCAAACTGATATCTGCTGGTTTTATTAACCCTATGAATTAGTCGATATTTCTAAAGATAAACCCGCTCGTTAACCTACTTGTGTTTACCTACTTAGCTAGCAAACTGGGGCACCCCATATATCCCTATGATATAGTTCTTGTTGATTAAATAAACATGTCTTGCTAAATTCCGTTCTGCTGATGGTCAACTCACCATTGTTGATGTAGAGAAATCAGAAGTGCCGGTTAAATCCCAATTTGTAATGGTTAATTCACAGCTCTGGGTCGGATAAATCCTACTTGCCCAGACTTGTCCACTGCTAAGAGTACCTATAGACTCACCATTTCTGGTGGATTTCCAAGGAATATCCAGGTCTCCATCAAACCCCGGTAAATCCCACAAAATCCAGAGATAAATCATATTAAATCACCATATATCACCATGAAATCCCATTAACTCCGATACCCATGAAATCCCACAAAATCATGCAATGTGGCTCCCTAGATAGCTAAGTTGGTGCACATACATCCAAAAGCTATGGTTTAATGATAATTTATGATACTTTTTTGCTAGAATTTTCATGGGGCTTAGAAACCATTTGCAACCAGGGTCAACAGTGTGGGATTCTTCATTTTAAATCACAGCCAATGCGATGCTTCATCCCCGGGGCCTCATAGGCTTTGCGACGGGATGCAAAGAGTGCCTGCCATAGGCTTTGCGCCCGGAAAATCAGAGGTTTTGCCATGGAAAACGATGGTTTAAAGCATCAAAAACGTTGGTTGAAACCATGAAACATTGTGGTTTTGCAATGACAAATGGTAAATTCACAATCACAACGCCGTGATTTAACTATAACTATCTAAAAAATGCTGATTTAACCACCTACTATGAAATAACCATCATTGTGATGTAACCGCCATTTAAGCAACAAGAACTGAGAACTTAAGCTCCAAAAAATGGTGATTTCACTGAAACCTATTGGAAGGCACCCACATCATGGATTAATCTGGTACTGGTTGGAAAATCATGGCTGACTAATGGGTTATGACAATCTGGTGGTGGAACCCCCAATCGTCATCGATTTTTTTTCATGACATGTGGTAAGTTTGCCACTGGAACACCGCATGCTGAACAATTTTCTTGATGCGTCACCTTCCAAAGTATATGTAAATTATTTACACAAGTGTCATATTGGTAAAGCCATGCGTAGCCAAATGTACCCACACGCAACAAACACTCAAAAGGGCATGTAGTGAAAATGTTTGCTCATGGGTGAGCCACATGTTTTTTGCTATCTAATTGTCCACTATGGCACTATGGCACCGAAGAACGTGAAACTCTGAACAACAAATAATCAATCTCTCTTCTGCACCATACCCGTAAAATTTCCAAATTGACCCACCAAAACAAAAACATGCTTATTTGGGGTAGTTTATCTGGCGAGAGTTTTAGACGCTGTCCACCTTGTTTTAAGACCCCTCTTCCTTTGGTTAAATTGAGCCATGCAAACTACCTCTATCCCATAAAGTACTAGTGGTTGCAAGAGTGTCATCATTCCCAATAAACTAGGTGGTAACCCCCCCCTGCGGCAATCAATCAACTCTCATGTATGATGTTGCCCCACATGTCGAGCCAAAGTAACTAACAATAAAACCCAAATTTGGTGGTGAAATTTCTATAATCCAACAAAACCCAACTAATTCAAAACCAATCAACCATCATATTGACCAACTGTTTTGTCCGCGCATGTTGATTCCTGAAGTAGTATCAAACCCATATTCGGCGGTTAAATCGCCTTATAAATGCTACTTGTCAGTGATTTCATCCTGAGGTCATCACTTTGCTCTCTGCCATGGCTATTGGTGGCAGCGGCTGATCGCAAGAATCACCAACACATCTTTGTGCCCCAAAAGGGACTTGAAATACTGGTTCATGTAGATGATTTTCTCGCTAGAAAACACCCTAACATACAGGTTTCATAGGTAAGATGTCACATCTTTATTCATTGGACGTTTAAACCCGACATATTTGATGGTGAAAAAAACATCTCAACTCATCATCTTCAATGGTTGTGACTAGATATCCCTTCCATCTATCGCTTCATCACTGATTCTTTACATGGCTTGGCCTTGGAAGTGGCTGCTGAGCCAGGACTACAACATGCAAATGTTAGTCCAGCAGAAATTATATTCAAACATTTTGTATGTGTTGTAAACCCAATATATAACCTACCATTTGGGGACTATCTTGACAGTCCATCTATGGGAATATTGGGGGGGGGTAAAAATATTGGGTCTACCGTGCCAAATTATATGAAATTGTCTGAAAATAAAGCATGCCCCCAAGGACCTAGGAAATAAGTTCAAGGTCAAAACTCACCATTTTCACGTACGAAACAGGATCCTGCAGGTTTGACCATGTGGACCGTTGACCCCATGCATTGGGATTTTGGTGTGGTGTCCGACAGGAAATTCCGATTGGTTTCCATTCAACATAGGACATTTACAAAAACGTGCGGATACCACCCAATAATGTTTTGAAAATATGACGGTCAGCTGCTTTGACTGCAAGACTGAAGTTCCCTCCCCGAGTAGCATGGCCAACTCGATGGCCTTGCTGATGTTCTTGCGATCAACGCCGCTTTCCCCCAGCGGCAGGACATCCTTTGCAAGGACCGCCAGGTCATCATCATCCTTCAAGTGCTCCTTCTTGATGGCAATCTTGCGAAAGTGCTCAACAGTGCGAACGCACTCGACCTGAATGCGTTTCACGCCCTTGTGCCCGAGACCCTCCATTGCCAGCCCAGCAGTGCCGCGGTGAACCATACCCATTGTCACTGCCTGTGCCACTGCAGCAGCAAGACGGCGGTTGAGCATCACCTTGTTGTCATATTGCAGCAGCACAGCCTCCAAGCACTGGGCAACCTCGAAGGGTCCAGATTCAGGCGAATCTTCCACCAACACGCGCACAGCAGTGACAAACGACATTAATTATTCCAATAAAAACCCAAAGCGGGAAGCATTGGTTTGGGTCGGTCACATTTACTAATAGTTTCTAAAAATATCTGCATCCACTGTGGTTGTTCCATGCATACAGCCCTTCTTTGAATCAAACCAGTAGTAAAAGAACATCTGTGCCTTGGATTTGCTTACATTGTGATGCCCCCAAGTTAACATGAAGTTATGTTACTTATAATTTGAGTTACGGAAGTTAAGTTGAAGTTATGTTAACTTATGTTATACGATTCATAACTTAAGTTATAACTTCGATAACTTTTTAGGATGTTTTTTTTTTGGTCTTTTTTTGATATTCCATGATTTTTTATAGAATGATTTGGTTTCTGCAGTTTCTTTGTTTGTTCCAGGATTCTCTTGCGTTTTTGGCCGCCAAATGCAACGTTTTCAAGGCAAGAACATAACCGTGCCGCTTTCACCGGAGGTCCATGCCGGTATGTGCATGTTTTTCATGCAAGCAAATTCAATGAATTTCTTTTCAGCGGTCTTTTTGAAGATTCGAAAATACTCTCCAGCTTTAATTAGGGCCAAGGGCGCGACAAAGAAATGTAAGCGGCACTTTTCCAGGAAACACAAAGAAACACATTTTAAACACATACGCGTTTCCTACCCTCTACGGCCTGCCTGCTGGAAACACATACGCGTTTCCTAAGGTGAACGCAGTGCAACATGGAAACACATGCGTGTTTCCATCTGATTTTGTTGTGCTTGGGTGGAAACACATGCGCGTTTCCAATCTGTCACGGAAACACATATTATAGTTCATCGAAACTGATGAGTATCACTGTGCAATAGGAAACACATTTTAAACACATTGCGTGTTTTCTTGCGACTGGCTGCTTGGAGTGTGGAAACACATGCGGGTTTCCTTCATTGTTCTACGTTGTGATGAGAAACACATGTGCGTTTCCATGTCTTCTTTGATTTTTGAAGGGAAACACATGCGTGTTTTCTACGATTGGGGTTCCTATGATGGGAAACACAGGCGCGTTTCCAGATCCAGGCTCTTCAGCGTAGAGAAACTCTTTTTTTTAGATTCAGCGTTTGAAAGTCTCTCATCTGCGCAAGGCTATAAAGAGCATGTTGTGTCTCTATTCCAATTTTTTCACTGCTTCCATGTTGGCGTTCGATGTTGCCCGCAGGCGGCACCGACTGGGTGATACAGTCTGAAGCACCATTTTCTGCCGCTACCATGACGGTTTGGAAAAAAAAATCCCGTTGAGCACTGAAAAACTATCATGGCATACATGACTCAAAATGAACAACCAAAAAATGCTAACTCGCGCAACTTCGATAACTTCATTTTATCGTTTTTCCTTGGGATAGCCTAACTTATGTTATAACTCCACATCTCATGTTATAAATTCAACATAAGTTATAGAAGTTAGCCTATGTTAAAACTTATGTTACCCCATGTTATAAATCATCTTGCAGAATATATAAGTCAAGTTGTATCTCGGGGGCATCACAATGTAAGAGGTCTAGAACGAATAAGACATATTTCATATTTCCATTAAATTCCACAGTTTGGTGGATTCATAAATGTAAAAACAACACATAGTAGCCCAGAAAAGAACAGAATAGCGCAATCCCATTCAAATAGTGCTAAAATACCTTTCTATCGTCTTTGTTTAATCTTCAACAAATCCAGGACGTTAAACGTTTAAAGATTTCAAGACATGGAACACCAGACCATGTGCCCGACAAACATGATGGCGATTCGTGGTTGGTCCTTTTGAGGTTGAGCATTGTTTGTTTGCACAACACCCAAACTTGTCGGTGCCAAACTATCCCAAGAATATTCCCAGTAATCAGCCGACAAAAACATGTGGGCAGGCCATTTCAAACATGTCAGAGGCACGATTTTGAAAGGTAGCCCTATGCAAAAATGGACCTTTATTAAACCTTTGAAATCCCCCTTTCGAACCCATCAAATTACCAACCTTCCTTTGTGTTCCATCATCCCAACAGCAGCACCGCGGCAACCAAACATGGTGAATCTTGGATACCTGCCAAAAAATCTAATTTCTAGCTGGTTAGGAATGGTTTGATCATTGACAACCAAAAAAAAGTACTCAAGTGTCTAACAATCTTTGACCCAGCAAACTCCGCAGTAATCCTCGGCCACTCATCTTTTTCGGCATTATCATACCTGGCCCTGATGGTCAACTCGATGCGATGGATGCATTGGAGACCAAGCATGTCCTGAAATGAGCCCTATGTCCTCCCTTAATATCAAGCTGGATGGTAAACATGTGAGTGGCGGACAAAATTACTTTCTACCCGCAATGGACATGGCCAAAGTGGGCCTATCGCTTGTGAAGGTTTGTACTTCCATCCTATGTGTGAAAATAGGGTATCGGTAAGTGGGTGGTCACCTATCGGTTGTGAAGGTTTTGGGACAAATTTGAACATCCCAAGTCCACTCCCTACTATTCTACTTTTCCGCTCATTTTGGCGGTTACTCATGTGATCCCATGGTGAGACTCGGGGTAAAAATAGAGAGAGAGAGAGAGAGGCGACGGGGCACTCCCATGGAGCTTAGCTCGCCATGCTTACTGTATCGTACCAACTGCAGATAGCATCACCCGATGGACCGTAGCCGCCCGTTGGCTCCGCCGCTGGCTTTGTGAATTGCTGAAGAAAGGCATTTTGTTGATGTTGTTGATGGAGCCCATCAGCAAGTGCTTGCTCCTGTCCATGTTCCTGACGTAAGCGCCCCTCTAAACGACGAGCTTCCATCAATGCCTGTTCTACCACATCGCGGAGGGCGCTGTTCTCGGCGATAACCTCCTCTCTCTCCCGATTCACTTCAACCAGCACCTGTAAAAGGGCGATCGAAACCTCCCGAAAGTCAGCCATGGTCGCGCGGTGATGTAGACGTATGGAACTGTTGGTTAATAGGGCTTTCCCTTGACGAAAGGTGATAAACCCTAAAGATATTGGTTAGGGTAATCATCTTTAATTATCACGAACAGGGGTTTGAACACTGCTCAAATAGGAAAGAAACAAATACAAATGCCTTTGGTTGGTGCAGTGTATCAGTGTATCGTATCTTTTGTCAAGATGGATGTCAAGGAAAAACAGAACTTGCATAGGTACTGATCATCAAACAGCTCCCCATCATGTCCAATCAAGCATCAGACCATGGATGTCATATCAATTTGTTAAAATTAAAACTATATATGGCTATATCATCAATATGATCCCAATATAATGAGAGGAAATAACCTGCATTTATTTGATAACCACCTTGTCACTCAATTTCAGAACATAACTGTTCGCTTGTACCGTTACTTTCCCATTCTTTATCCCTTTTGGACAAAATCAGGTTCATGTTTCTTTATCATTGAGGGGTTTCCGGCAGATTTTCAGATAGACCTTGATTTTTTTAAAGCGGAAACTAATCTTTCAACCCCTATCTGCCAGAGTCTATCTTAATTCACTGGAGGATAATCGAGAATAAGTGTGCTCACTGCTCAATTCATCTTCCAATGACACCATCGAGCGCACCATCGAGACCCCAGCATCAGCTGCGCGTTGGTCAAAACATCCTGGAAGTTCCGTGAATCAAAACAGCCTCATGTGGTCTTCATGTTGGTCAAAACAGCTCTCATCCATATCTGGTTGGTGGTTGGTATACCTACCCCTCTGAAAAATGGAGTGAAAGTCAGCTGGGATGACGAAATTCCCAACTGAATGGAAAAAATAACAAATGTTCCAAACCACCAACCAGTGATTATTAACCATCATTAACCATCATTAACCATCATTAACCATCATTAACCATCATTACCCCATACTAAATGTTTTGACCAAGGTGAGATTAAACATGTCATTGAGACATGTGCAAATCCACGAGGTCTTCACGTCACTAGAAG